GGGTGCAGTACAAATTTTCCGGAAATGGCCAGCATTATGCAGAATTATGCAGAATTATGCAGATCACGAAGATCATTTCGGAAAACATAAAAAACACGAAAAATATGGAAAAAGGCCGTCTAAACCTATCTTGATACACGAATAAAAAATGTCAGGGATGCAATTTTACATATAAGAACATTCCTAAATCTAATAAAAACAGCTATATCTAGTGCTAATTAGATAAATAGTTCCGGAAAATTTGTACTGCACCCTGATGCTGTTAACGAAAATGTTGATTACTATATGAGTGCTGCCAAGGGAAACCCGCCAATCTCATAAGATTTACTCGCTATTATAACATAATTTATACTTTTTTTTCAAATTTCTATTAACTTAACTCCTCGCCAACTTATTTAAGTAGTAAATCGTTTCAGAAGGGTAGAAAAAATGATAAATCTTATAATATACAAAGTCGGAAATTCATATGTTTTTTCTATAGTATAGGAATGGGGCTTGCATACATATAAAAGTATTTTTTTATTAAGTAAACCTTTTTTTTAGCTTATAATAAAAGTTGTATAGCTAATTTTTCTGATTCTAATGGTGGTAAAATCATCAAAATCGGTTAAATAGATCATGAGATATGAGTATTTTTCAATCGTTTACTATAGGGTTTTTTCTTAAGAAACGGAGCTCACGGCATTCCACTTATTAATATAAGGTAACTAGTAAATTCCCACCGATTTTTACTATGAAATTTATTCCCTTTAACTGCGGACCACCAATTAAATAAAAAAAATTTAACATTTCAACTTACAGTAAGTGAAATAAAAAAAGGAATTACTTATCATAATAAAAAAATTTCTTTTTTTAAAAAAATTCAATGAACTTATAAATTATTCAGTAAATGCTTTTGTATGTAGTTGACTCGGTATAACGGGTTAAAATTTTTAAATTTTATAATAGTTCGGTATAAAAATGTTACGAGCTCTTATTAAAGCATAATATCCTAAGGCGATCTTTTTTTTTCAGAATCAACAGTTTTGTGGAAAATTTATTTAAACAATCCATTTAAAGAATTTTTAACAGATGAACTACCGTGGTTTATTTTTAAAGATATTAAAGGGTTTCAGAATTAAAAAAAATATATATAGCGTATTTTAGAAATAAGTGGGAGTTTAAAAAAGGATATTTTTAACTTGTGCCAGTGGTTTTTGATAGCCAGAGTACTATATTTCAAAAAAATTCATTAAGTAATCAAGTTCGGAGTACTAAGTAAAAATGTTCAGGACCTCAAAAACCTTATGTGAACTAAAATTTGTGACTTTTTATCCAACCTATATTATGTTCTATAAACCCCTATTTATCCTAAAATCGCACCCAACTCATAAATTTTAATAGAAGATTATTATAATTATAAACAACCAATGGCATAAATATAATAATTCATTATTAGCCTTCAATTATATATGTTATAATATATTGATTTTAATAAAATATTGTAACTGTGCGACAGATGAAAAACAGAAAACTATTACATAACATATTCATAGAAATTGTAAAGATGTAAAAACTGGAGAGTGATTTCATTATACTAACGTAAGAATGCATCTAAAATCTACGTAATTTACCGGGGAAATCTGGAAACCTTTAAAGTTTTAAAAATGAAATTAATGACGAATTTAAACATTTCATTATTTTAATAATATTCACTATACTTGGATTCGAGTTCCTCTCAATAAAGTGTTGTTCCTTCGTAGTGCTTGATTGATTGAAAAACGGGCGACAAAATTTATAGTTGCAAATCTATATGGTAATTCAACATTAAAGATTTATTAAAATCCCTATGTTTATCAAAATGTGTTTATGTATATTAAAATACCTATTACGATCATCTTTATCGCAAATAAAAACTCGTTTTATTTCTCCGGAACTTCGAAAATGACTGTGTAAATCGTCAGGAGATATATCTTGTCTAATCTAAAACGAGTAAAAAATGAGGTTGAATATTGTGAGCATAATAATGAAAAAAATAAGTAGCAACAGAGAAAATATATACATTGTAAATCCATATTAGATTATCTTTTAGATTCTTTCTGGAAACCTTGAAAATATTTAAAGTATTATCTAAGACAAATTATAATAATCTATTTAAATACCAAATAATATGAAATTAAGTTATACATGAATACGTCTTCCACCAAGAAGTGTATTATTTGCCCGCAAGGCACTATTTACTGCAGCACTCGTGGTAAAGCCAATAAACGCATATCTATATAAAGCAATAAAATCTTGAATAATTATGTAACATTTTGAGTTCGATATCATTAACAATTAAAATACCCATTAAATATATTAATATGGTGTATCTCTCCATAATTGTGAAAGTGATTGCTTAATTCATCTTCGGTAACATTATTATGAAGCTAATACGTACAATATTGTGATAAATGAACGAAAATGTAATTTGATATTATTAAATGATGAATAAATGAAAAAACAATAATGTAAATTTAAATGAATTCAAATGTAATGCACACATTGCTAACGTAGATTGTACGAGTATTAATCCATTTTCTAGCGACCTTGAAAAACATTTTAAGCCGAATTAGTAGTGAATATGTATATATATATATATAATAAAGGTCAAACATTAAACGCACAATAATAATATTTTCATCAATCGTGCTTCCATCCAAACTCAATGCATCATTGACTTCTGATTCAAATTCTATAAAAGCGTGACTATACGTAATACAAAGGATAATGTTATTCTTTATAAACAAGAATTTTTGGCAAAAAGTTTAACATACCCCTTTTGATTATTCGCGTTATCGCTAAAAATCCTGAAAATAATTGTGATTTGTTTAATTGTCCCACGTAAATGAAAATGGTTTCGTAAACGTTGGACGGTAATATTGCAATCAAGCTACGAAGATAAAACAATTTAATAGGCATGAAGGTATTAATGCCAAAAAGATATCTATACATACATTGCCAACATAGATTGACCGAGCATCAACATCTTCTGCAAATATTAAAAAAATACTTAGTATGATTCTTTTACAATTTCATGATTAAAAAAGATTAATTTACATACCTTGTTGCCTATGATTCATCGTTTTCTATTTTGCTATTATTTTAAATTTAAACAATTACTCACAATTTAACATGAAATCTACGAATACAGTATACATTTAATATACCACGAGATAGGCTTAGTTTGAATACTAACATCTTAATATTGAAAGATAGTTAATAATTAATGAACTTGAAAGAAAAGTAATAAACTTTTAATATTTTTATTGGGTTCCTAATTCCCATAAACTGTTTCGCAACAAAAGTTGAAATTATATTATTAAAAGTCTTGGCGAATTTAGGTGCAATTGGCCTGCTTATAAAAGCATCCGTATAAATAGAATTCTCTCATTATTAGTTTTTATAATGACTATTTGACAATGAAAACGATACTAAATTGTTTCATGATTGTTTCCCAAAAAAGAGGTTACATTTCTTTAATTCATGTTTGACAAAGTCATTTGATTTATATGATTTAATTTGCTTTGTACTCCTACGTAGCCACTACATTTTTAGAGTCCCTAAGTGTTTCCGGATAAAGCTAAACTGCTAAATAGTGCATTCTATTATTTCTAATGGCTAATTTTGTATCCAAAATTTAAGTAGGATAGGTCCATTGTATTAGTAAGGCACATAAACCGGACTTTGCACCCTTTGAAACATGCTTGAAAAAATGAATATTTATACATTTATAAAGCCATAAAAATGATTGCACATCTTAAATCTTCCATTTTACTATACGACTGTGCCTTAAATTTGTTACCTCATACTTATTTTCGCATAAATATCTTATTAATTTACACGCATTTTTTGGGTTGTATTTTTTATATAAATAATGCAAATTATGTTTTTGTATTGTTTGCAACGTTGATATACTTCCGAAGTAAAATTTCAGGGAACGTCTATGATAGGTCTGATCCTCTACTCCATTCCGGACAATATTTTTCTTCTGATAAGGTTATACAGATTATTTGGGTTTCATAATTCGGCTGTGTCTATAAATGCATAGTATATTTCAACTTTAAAAAGGTAGTGTTTTACAAAGGGGTTAACCGACAAACAAAATTCCGACGAATAATAAATCCGGATATCAATGATTCGATCAAATTTTTTTCGGAATTTTGTTTGAATCAACTTAAAATTTGATTTTGTAAAATTTGTATAGTAGAAACTTATAATAGGAATGCTGCTGTATCTGATATAATATCTTAATATGGTATACTTACATCTGTCTTCAAAAAGGAAATAAAAAATCTAAGAATTTTGACTTGAAATCTGGAAAATAAATTTTTTCACAATATCTAATCTATGTTAGTTCTCACCTTTATGAAAAAAAATTAATGAATTTATATGAGGACCAATACTACCATCTAGTGATGGTACCCGATCGAAAAAAATGCTACCCGGTTATCTGACGGGTATACCCGGCGGGTTACCCGGGTGATCAACAGATATATCTGGGTATAAAATCCTACCCGATATACCCGGGTAAGGTTAATTAAATACTTTTACTTTACTAGATAGCTGCGCGACGTTATTGTGCAAAACCAGGAACAGAAAAGATAAAATGTACGAATTTGCACCTAACCGATTACTTTATCCTTCAACTGATTACTTTTAAATCAATCAATGTGTTTATTTATGCTGATTTTTATCAATATGCGATATATCTGTCAAGTAATTATCTAAAAAAAAAATTAATATTTAATCAAAATATAAAGACCTACAAAAATTACTCGA